TAAATGTTATGCCCAGATTTCAAGATCCCCAAGGAAACTGTGCTAGGGTGAGGGACTGAGGCATGGAAGGGTTACAGAATGTTACAGAATGTGCTAAGGAGAGGAAATGGGACATGAGAAATTGAATGTTCTGGGAGGGAGGACTGACGTATGGAGGATTGTGTCAAGGTTAGGAACCATGGAAGAAAAAATGCTAGATTATCTTAGAAAAATAATGTGTTATGATACGCTCTAGCCAGGTGTGACTCTGTTTACCCCCCCTTTGTGCTTATGAACTTTCTATGAACTTCTAAGGTAACACTGTTGTGCTCTAAAGGATCATACTGCACCCTTGATCTCTGCCACATGCTCCGAATCTCCCAGAGAGGGAGATAGGTGTGGTGGCCAGCTGGCCAGCTTAATAAAGGCTCTTAAATTTAAATTCTGAATCGATGGTCTATCTCGTTGAGCCAACCCATAACACTAGGTCAATGGAAACAAGGTGAGATCGGAGCTGTGCATATTTACTTATTAAACACTCACCAGGAATATTCTGTGAGCCTTGGTGTGGCCGGACTGAGTGCAACAACCCAGGCCACACCAAAGGCTCACAGAATATTCCTGGTGAGTGTTTAATAAGTAAATATACACAAGCCCCGATCTCACCTTGTTGCATTGATTTAGGGCAGTGATCGGCAAACTCATTAGTCAACAGAGCCAAATATCAACAGTACTTCTTCAAAATAGACTCGCCTAGGCCAAAAACCAACTTCTGTCAATGGGCCACAAAGTTTCAGTCGCACTATACATGCACACCCGAACGTGGTATTTTGTGGAAGAGCCACACTCAAGGGGCCAAAGAGCCGCATGTGTCTCCCAAGCTGCAGTTTGCCGACCACTGACCTAGGGCGTCCAATTAAAATCAAATGAAAATACATTCTGCATATCAGATATTTACATTATGATTCCTAACAGTAGCAAAATTACAGTTATGAAGTAGCAACCAAAATAATTTTATGCTTGTGGGTCACCAAACATGAGGAGCTGTATTAAAGGGTCACGGCATTAGGAAGGTTGAGAACCACTGGCGTAGGGGCATGAGTGGCCATCCTGTGAGACTGACTGGGCATGGGGTGAAGCATAGTTATCCCTCCTTTGGAAAACTGCTGTTTGAAGTACTCTGATATTCTTAGACAGTCTCTTATTCTGTAGGTCAAAACTGTTATTTTCAGACTGTAGAATAACTTTGTTTTTGGTTTGAGTAGAAAAGATAAACTTAATTGCCTGACCTTGCAAGCTAACAATATTACTGATATGCTGCTATTGATGCCAGGTGCCTGTATAGATATGATACTAAAGGTTACAGGTGTCTGTATAGATATGACAGGTGTTTGCTAGATATGATATGTACTGAAGGTTACAAGTTGTCTACAAAAATAACTGACACAAGGGACTAAAAATATATATAAAATGAGAGTGCTTCCTCCTTTGGGTGTTCAGAATTTGACAGAGGTAATCTGCTCTGAACCTGCACACAATAAAGATGACTTCAAATTAATTGGCTCATTAAGGCGTCTTGTCCAGCTCGCTGATTTTCGATACAACAGGGGTAGAGAGCCATCGGCCATGACACTTGACTGGTGAGGGCTGTGACTGGGGATGGGAGATCATGTGCAGCACTGGTGGAGGTGGGCTTTGGATATCTAAGACGTGATGTGGTTCTCAATATGTGAGGTTGAAGGAAAACACAGTCGGGGAGGGAGGCCTTCATAACAAGATTCAAGGCTGCCTCAATGAGTGTGGACTCTCAGAGTTGGTGTAGAACAGTGATGGTGTACCTTTTGAGCTCGGCGTGCCAGCATTATGAAAAACCCTAACTTAAGTCTTGTGCCGTGTCACATATAGAAATTTTTTGATATTTGCAACCATAGTAAAGCAAAGATTTATATTTTTGATATTTATTTACACATTTAAATGCCATTTAACATAGAAACATCAACCCCAAAAATGAATTTGCGTGTCACCTCTGACACGTGTGTCATAGGTTCGCCATCACTGGTGTAGAACTTAATCCTGTTTGAATTTGCCAAGCAGTCACTACATCACACATGATGAGTAATGAGTAGGAAGTCAAGGAGTTGACTCTCGGGTCTGTGGGTGTGGGAATGGAGGTGGGAGAGAGGTGTGGGAGAAGAGGTGATGTGCCCTTGGAGAGGGAGTGCGAATTCATGGCCACAGGTCACTGGATGTTGCAATAAGGATGAGTCCATTTTTTGTGGTTACTGGCTGAAATGATATGATAGATGATGTATGATATATGATATGACATCATATGAGGAATTTTAGTGTAACTGTCTGAAAAATAGTGGTGTTGTGGTGAGACCTGCCAGGTCCAGACCTTAGGTGTCACATTGATGCACACCTTCCTAGGGTTGTTGAGGGCTGACACATTGATCAGTGGGAACGAGATAGCATATATTGGTGTCACCTGCGCTTGCATATTTGCAGTGGAATGGGAATGGGCAAAGAAAGAGAGAGAAACACATTACAGAGGCTATGAAGTAGACATTTGGAGGAGAAGGTGAGTAGGAAAAAAAGTGCTCTCACCACGGCAAATTTGTGTTGCTTTTGAAGATGTGCCCCTGGAGCTCTAACCGGTTTGGCTCAGGGGATAGAGCATTGGCCTGCGGACTCAAGGGTCCTGGGTGCTTAAGGCAAAGATGAGCCTTTTAGTAAAGAAGTCATAGGCCTGGGGCGTGCCCACCCCCAGGACTACCCAGGTAGGAATGTGTGATCAGAGCCTCCTGTGAAGGTCCTGCCAGTCACTGAGTTTTGTCAGATTTAGGACAGAGCCCCCTTTTTGTTCACAAATACAATTCCAAAAACTAGACCTAGGACAGGGCTTTCTGTGAGCTCTGTGGCTGAGCCTCGGAACAAAACTAATTTAAGACAGAGCAGGAAATAGTTTCTTTGCTCAACTCTCCACCTGCTCCTGGTCTATGCCCTAAGCTGGTCCTGAGCGCCCCCTGGTGTCCAGGATGCTCCCTGCACCCAAGCCCTGCTGTCTCT